CATTGTTCCCTCAAAGTGAAACCTTATGTTTTAACTTGACATCGACCTTTCCAAGGTAAAAGAGCTGCACTTGAATACAATGTGAAGCTATCATGTTTCAAGTTACGAAAAAAAATTTGTCTTTTGTATTGAGTTTTACTGAATATTACATCGCTCGTCTTTAACTTATTTTTCAGTAACAAGTTGGTATTCAACTTTTAAAAAGAAGTAAATTGATTTAGAATATTTTATTATAGTCATGCAATCAATATTAATCATAAACCATTAAAACTCTTTTTTTTTTTGACTTATCATCCGAGCATCGTGATTATATACTTCACTACAAATTTCCACGTTAGGACGCAAAATGACAAAATCAAGTCAGTCATTCGATGATCACACGATGATTTAATAGAATTTTGGGCAGTTTCAATCATTTTTGAGTATTTAAAGATTGAAGATTAACTTACTCTGGGGCAATTCGATCGGGACCAATAATTAAAATTTTGATCTAACTTCATTTCTTTTGTCACTTTCTATTCATATACTTATTTCATTTAGTAAAACATTGCAAATTTTAATATTTTATTTAATTATATTTAATGCATCATGAAAAACATGCAATTAGATCCTTCATAAGTTAGGCAGGGAAGCAAGTTTTTGTCAGTCCCAAGTCCATTTAACAATGAACAAGTGGGTACTCCAAATTAATTTGCTCATTATCTTTACCCAACCAATATTGAGACATGATGTCCCTTATATCATTGGCTCACCATTTGTATATGAGACACTAATAAAAATTTATTGAGTGGTCCAAGACGGTTGAATTAAAATAAATTTCACATTGAATAAATATAGAAATATTAATAATCTTCGAGCTACTATTTTTAATAAGATCGACATTTTACGATAGAATCTAAAATCTTACTATGATATCAGAGTTCATTAAGTTCCAAATAACAATTCGATCTGACTGAGACTAAGATATTAGTACACGAATTTTAAAATTAGTGTTGACAAACAGTCACTAACTTGTAGGGGTATGTTAAATGACAAATCCCAGAAATATTGTCTAACTTATAAGAGTTTGAACTACTCGTCTTACCAAAGTTGACATTTAAACATGAAACCGATTAGCTTAATTAAATCATTGTACAGTTCCATTAAAAACTAAGACAAATATGGCAATCCAAGTCACAAAAACAATCATGATATTTTGTTCTAACTTTTTGGAAGATTGATCACAAATGAACCCAATTTTATATGTGCATTTTATTTTACTTTCTATAGTGTCAGTACTCATTGAGAGATCATATTAAAAAATAGGAGCATTGGGATCCTCAATGAAGAGTAATTAGTATAGAATCTCAAGTAGGTCACTTAGCCACTATTACTCTTGGAAGTATTTGAATTTTTGAGGGGTAGCCTTGTCTGTCTTTGCTCAACATTTGCCCTCTCACCTCATTCAAATTTAGTAGGGCTTCTTGCAAAATGAGAGAGAACCCATAAAAATTTTAAGATCGAGATTAAATAGGAAAAAAAGGCATAGGTTTGTTATGATGATAGATTGATTTAGTGTTGCTTTAGCTTTTAAATTTTTGTACAATTTTCTTGACAGAAAAAAAAAATGAATTTTTCTAATACTCGATAATTGAGTATACATATAAAAAATAAATGAATTTATTTTCTGTTTAATAATTTATATTTTTAAATAACAAAACATTTCGATATAAAAATATACTATTTTATATGTATATTGAATGAAATTTTTTGTACGATTTATAAATAAATGGGGTTTGTAGCCCCCCGGGGTACTCAATGGTGCAAAGGACAAGAGTAAGGTAGTCTCAATTGAGCTGGCAGCCGCAGTGTGAATGTTCGATTCCTATCTCTTATAAGGTATGAAATTAGACTATTTGTGGGCACCAGTATGACAGCTCCTGTACCATGACCTGTTGAGGTACATCCCGCGATTTACCTCCCCCACAATGTTCTAGAGGCTGGACGGTGGAGGCCCTCAAAGCTGGGGTCCGACCTTTAATAAATGGGGTTTGTGTGCCTTTTAGGTATGCAATAACTAGTGGAAACCGCTGCAAACCACCATTGTGTGTGGATAGTAGAATTAGACTTAAGGATGAGTTAAAATATAGAAAAATTCAATTGCAAGTATCCCATTAAAGGTATTAAAGTTGTGTCTGACGACTATAAAAGAAGAAAAAATGTCGTTTTCACATCATGTCGAAGAAAATAGTACGGAGAATAGTTTAATCCTGAATCTCAGGGTAGGAATGACAAAATTCTTTATTCTCGATTTGCCTCGTTTATCCTGCCTAGTTTTTTTTTTTAAATTAATCATAATTAAAAATAAAAAAATTATATTAAATGTAAAATAAATAACATGACAATAAATGTGATATTTTATTAGGGTGGTTATATTGCCACTACAATTTTTATTTAATACACCACATTTTAATTGCAGTTAAATTCTTCATTCTTTACTCATTGTAATAATTATATATATATTTTTTTTTTGACTTTTTTGACTAATTCTTAACTTCAACCTTCTATTAATTAGTGTGTCTCATCGTTGATGATAATTTATATCAAAATATTTTGTTTTCATGCTTTGAAATAAGGAAACAAAATATTTTTTTCGTACTTTATTTATTTATTTTTTAAAAAATATGATAGGGAAGTAAGTTGTTGTATGCAATTTCAATGGATTTTTGGATATAAAACTAATGAGCAAAGTTTAAAAATGTATTAACTAATGAAAAGTTTGAGAATAAAAATGATATGAAAAATTGTTAGGAATATGAGTAGTATAATGAGCAAAGTTTAAAAACCTTAAGTAAAATTAAAATGTGGCGTAACAGATAAAAATTGTGGTGTGAATATAATTGCCCATTTTAATCCATCCTAGACCTCTCTCCTCCTGCCTCGCGAATATCTATGATAAGGCGAGTGCTCCAACCCTCGACCCCCATTGCAATCCCTACCTTATGAGGGGTGGAACTTAGAGGTTGAGCTGCCTCAACTATAACCCCTTATGGTTTGTTCTTCTCGGCATAGGCAAGTTGCTGATCTTGAACATGCATATGCAAATTGAAGCTATAGATGTATTTCACCTTTCTCATTCAATATATTTGATATAAAGGCATACATGTCAAGAACCCTAGTCAATCCACAAACTAATACATTAAATTAGTACTTGATGTGAAAATATCGAATACATGTTCATTTTGAGACAACTATTCCGTACATGTGTAACACATTTGCTGCATTAGATTAAAGACGTGGAAGCGTGTTAAGACATTTGAGTCAAGAAGAAGCATGGAACAAGCCTTGTCATGAGCCAGACCTAATGTAGGGTCTCAACGGCATGCTTGGATCATGATGGGAAACTTGAATGAGTTTATTAAAGACCGACTTTTAATGGCCCAACACGTTCCACACCATCTCAAAATTGGGTCATTCTGACTTAGTTTACACCTCTTATTTGGAGTACATGTATCGATTCTTTTAATCAAATTGACAGTCTTTCACGCATTAAAACTAGGCATGACAATTGAGATAACAGGTGCATGTGTGGGAATAATGTGGTTGACCAAGGAAGTGCATGTCACGTTACAAGACAATGGACTTGTCAATCTCAAATATGAGCATCACACAAAGTCAAATTCCAACTAAAATGCAATTAATTAATTTGAATATTTGACATGCCAAAGGAATATTTAATTTTATCAAATTTGTGAAAAATGAAATTCCTCGTAACGTTTCACAAACATTCTTAGTGCACAAGCACCTTGAGTCCATCATAATTGACAAATACAATAGAAAAATATACCATCATTAATAAATTCTGACACGTAGCAGACAATTTTTTATATTTTTCAACTAAGGTTGAATAATGATGAGGAACCAAAATTTAAGTCAATTGTCTGGACATTGCATTTTTTATGGATCTGAACAAATTTTCTTCAAAAGAAGAAAAATATACCTATTTCAAGTTAGTTCCAAACCATAGTAGAAAATCAGGTAGAAAAAAAAAAGAAAAGAAAAGATTGGGTGGGGTGGGGTGGGGTGTACCTTCACATAGATATTTGCTCTCTTCTTTGAATGGCCACGATTTCAGAAGCAAAGAAAACTAAAATCTTATTCAGTATATTTTCTAGTCATGTTCATGTTAAATACAAAATAAGATAGATCCCAAGATGGGGGCAGGGTACCATAATCGTGTATAAGGATGTTTTAAAACACACCCAGAAAACAAAATTAAAATTTCATAATCTTTCCAATCTTTTTTTGTGTAAGCTGTACAATCAATTATTCAATTCCCCTCACACCCTCTTTTTGAATTTTTTTTGGAAACAGTTACTCCAAAGAATAATGCTATGTGTACACAAACTTTCACACAATCTTTTACACCCCCCTCACATGGAGGGGGGTCCACACATAATAAAATAATCGTGGGCCCCCCTCCATGTGAGGGGGGGGTAAAAGATTGTGTGAAAGTTTGTGGGGAGTACACAAATTTTCACACAATTTTTTACACCCCCCTCACATGGAGGGGGGTCCACACATAATAAAATAATCGTGGGCCCCCCTCCATGTGAGGGGGGTGTAAAAGATTGTGTGAAAGTTTGTGGGTACATGTAGCATCACCCTACTCCTATACCTATATTATTTTAAATCTTTACATACACCAAAAATTACTTGCAAGAAAAAAAGGAACACAAAAACCAATATTTTCCTTGCGCATCGGTCGTTGTACTTACTCCAGTGAGGGCAGAACCAAAAAACTCAGCCATGAGCAAGCTTCGGTTCTTCTTGCTGCCAAAAAAACCCGACCAACCAAACATCATACATCAGTAATGACACGAGCTGGACGAAAAAGGATAATGGGTTCAATTTCCACATTCACGGACTTGTCTATTCCAAGCAGTCATACTCCATTGATCTGAGCATGCTTGCTTGTCTATTAGACCGGGCTTCAAGATTCACTTAAGGTCTCATTGGAATCATCTATCCTCTATGAAGATTTTCCTTGTGAAGTCTCGAAATCTTTTGGAATATAGTCTTGGATCAACAGCTGAGATTGAGGTAGGGTCGACCTGTAAAGATTTGTATGCATGTTCTAGTTTCTTGCTGATATCGTAGTCTTGTAAAATGTCGATGATCCCAAAGTAGAGGACTACTTCGTATACTTCACCACAACAGGAAGGAGACGAATTGCTAAATCGACCAGGTGTGTACTGAACAAAATTACTCCTTTGAGCAATTCGCTCTGCTCTTGCAGGCATGTTGGCCCCTAGCCTGATCAATGGTTTCCTGGTAAAAAAACGAATCACATACAAATTCACACATGAAAACAATACTAGAAGAAATAAAATCAAGAACATTTCTTGAATGATCAAATAATAAAGTAATAGAACTTTGACAACAGCAGAAATCACACACCTGCCAAATTTATCCAGGATATTATCATTTCGGAAATGAAGACCAACTAAGAGACTATAATCCATGATTCTCTCTGCCTCTAAGAATTCACAGTCTAGATCAATTTGTCTGTCAAGATAATATCAAAGTGAGAAAATGCCAAAACATGCTAAAACAGAATAATATACAAACAAGAGGAGAAGACCAGACTAACTTGATTAATTCTTGGTACCAATAGCTTTGGAGGTGGAACACAAAGTTTAGATCGAGGTCCTTAAGAGTTGTAGATTCATCAATCTCTCTATCAGACTTATCACTTGTTCGGCCATGGGACGATCCTTTCAAATCAAACCTTCTATGGATTCGATACTCTGAGCAGAACAAATTTCCCATCACAATGAACCGTGTCTGGTTTATAATAACATAACACTAATTAGTCATACAGCAGACACATTTTTCATAGCAGAAGAATTATACTTCCAATATCATCCACATACCTTGACACCGCCCACTGGTTTGACGCAATGGACACCGTAGAACTTTGTGACAAGAGAATTTTTATAACGACAGAAGTGCTCATGATAACTCGGAAGCATCTTAAGAAGAACCTAAAGAAAACGGATTACCAAATTTTAAGTTGCATATTAATAAAGTTCAAGTGAAAGGCCTCTAACAAATATTTTGATTACCGCCTTATGCTGTGATCATATATCACATCCTTTTTTTTTATACAAATCGAATAAATAGGTAACTAACCTTGACTTCAGATTTCTTCACTGTTTTGATCATAAACCTGTCGTCCTGAGTCAAGTAAAATGAACTTCCACTTTTCCCTGGGGATGAAAGCTCCCTCAAAGCATCGCTTCCACAAACGGCTAGCATATAATCAGCGGGATCTACTTGAAATAACTCCCTTAAATGTCTGATAACACAATTGAGCAATCATCTTTTCAGAATGCAATCTAAAAGGCAATCAATGCCAATTGTTCTAAATGCTACTATAATTGTAAAGAATAACATATTCACATATATGAAACTAAAACATTAACTATTGAAGATCAGCATTCTAACACATTCAGAGCCATATTTATGTGGAGAGTTTACCTAAACACCACAGGACAGTAATCCTTCCACCGGAACTCCAAGGATTGATGGGATGGTGTAATTTTCGAACCTTGAGGAGGAAACCTAGTCCAGAACTTCTCTTTAGGATCGAAATCGCTGAGCTTAAGATCCCGGGATATGGAAGCATGCTTCCCCACAGAATACCTAAACAAGAACAATTACCATTTCAATAGAAATCAAATTATACCAACACCCAAAGCTTGAGAAATTGCATTATGAACAAGATCAAAACACAATTAAATCTTACCTAATACCCAATTGGAGATTCAGCATCAAAGCATAATTCTTATGCTCTTTTGATATAGTCTGTCCTGGTTTCTTCACCTCCCCACTAAAACTACAAGAATTCCTCCGTAATTGCCTCACCCCCTCATGATCTCTATATAACAATGATGCCTCCACATTATCAATAATATCACAAGTTATATCCCCAGCCACACCTTCCGACTCCCAAATGCATATTCTTGGGAAGGTCCTCTCCATCAACCCCTCGTCCACTGACCACCTCTTCTTCCTACCACCACCTATCATTACATCCATACTCTTCTCCTTTGCCACCAATAACTTATAATCAAAATACTTCTTAAATTCCTCCTCATTCTCATCATTTCCATTAACATTATTACATTTATGCGCAGGATAAAAAGTACCATTCAAGATTTGATCACTATCGATGTTTCTACACGAGTCTTTCGGCCAGCAGCCGATATAGCAACTCCCATCAGGCCATGTAAAAACCCCATCTCCCTTTGGAATCCCATTCTCCCAATTCCCATCATATCTATTCCCATTGTTCCAAACTAAAACACCTCTTCCATGAATCATCCCATTCTTCCACTCACCAATATACTCATTCCCATTCCTCCATGTATACCTCCTCTGTCCATCTTGCAAATTCTTCTTCCATTCGCCCTCGTAGTAATCCCCATTTCCATAACGCTTCACTCCATACCCGTGCTTACGATCACCGACCCATGAGCCCTTATACATATCCCCATCAGAACCTATGTAAGTACCAATACCCTCCATTCGACCCGACTTGAATTCACCTTCAAATGTTGCGCCTGACGGCCATGAAAACTTCCCTTTGCCACAGGCCTTCCCTTTCTTCCATTCACCCTCATACATACACCCATCTTTCCATAGGTATTTACCCAATCCATGAGGTGTATTATTTGCAAATTTTCCAATATACAGATCCCCATTTAGAAGCAGCTTTTCTGTTATATCGTCTGCTTTATTTGAAGGTGTAATTCTACGGCAGATGGATTGAGATTTGTTTCTGGGCATAACGACAACTGATTTTGCTTCACTAATTGTAACTTTATTGGCTGACAAATCAATAGATTTTTCCGATTCTCCCTCAAATTTCACTTCGTTTTCCTCTAGCCCATAAATTTTCTTATCCTTTTCCTCTTGCTGTGGCATTCTTCTCGGGAAAATGAGGTTTTTCAAGAAAAAGTAAGCAGGATTTGTTCAGCTATTCCCAAGAATGTTTATGAACAGCTGGGAAATACAGTTTCTGCATCATTTATCTATCTGTGTATAGCGTGTATACTGTATAGAATATGGAAGGTTTTGTGGAGAGAGAACACGGGAAACTGATAATGAGTGCGTGACTGTGTGAAAGAGAAAAGTGAGGAAAAATGTGAAAAGTGAAGCGGCATTACGTTTGCAAAATCGATACATGCAATTGTAGATACAATAAAGTGCAAGTAATTGTATGTATAATCCGACAGTTCATTTTTTTCCCAACGAATATGCCCCTAGAAATGGGGGATGTGCCTCTAATCAGTGTGTCAAAATGAGCGAACCGATTAGATAGAGCGACATGTCATGTTTAGACATAACGAGGTTTGTGGTAAGCTATGTTGTCAGCCACCTATCTACATTCTAGTCTTGCATACTTGATTGTTAGGATGCAATTCGAGCTCAATCCATGTCATGTCGAGTCCAAATAATTTCAGATATGTTGCGGTAGTATGTGTCCAATGAGCATGTCACGACATAAGCCACCTTCAAATTTTTTAACTATAGTTTGTGCAGACATTAACCAACCATCGTTTTATAAATATGTCAAGTAAGGACGATAAAATTTGAAAGTTCAATGTAGATTGTTTATTGAGAGACACGACTAAATTTTTGGGCAAGTTAAACCTAATTTCTCATACATAATTTGGGTTTTTGTGCAACTCCAACTAATTCTAAGACGGGTCAAATAATATGAGTGAACCCAACACAATTCGACTGACGATCTAATTCGACGAATCTTTCACATGTACATAGAATTCTAGTATGTACAGTTTATAATTTGGGGAGATTATGTACACCTAATTAGGGTAATAAGTTAATGGTAGAATCTAAGTTTTGTCTATTTGACTAGGCGTGGAGACGAAATTTTAAACTTTACAAGGTTAAGCAAGGGTAGACGTCAAAAAACGTTTTCTTTTTTAATATTATTTTAAATTTTTAATCATTTCAAATCATTTAATAATTAAAATAATACATATCAAACATCTAAATTATATAATACTATATTTACTTAATAATTCATATCATTAGTCAATTATATAATTTTCAACTTTTCGAAATGTAAAAATTAAAATATTTTTCATTGTTTCAATTTGCAACTAGATATGTCATATTTAATAGATTTAAAGGAACACTATACATGCTCTTGAAATTTGCAGCAAAATAACGAGTTTCAAGATTATAATTACATAATGTAGATAGTATCATATCTTAAATCTTTTTTAACTATTTAGGAAAAGTCTTTTTTAAATTTTGTACATATAATTTTTTTTTAAAAAATTTGAAATTAAAGTCAAATGAAATGCTTTTTAAAAATTAAAAAAAAAAAATTAATAGCTAAAGTCATATAAAAGATTTTTTTTTATAAAAGAAAAAAAAAACTAATAAAGCGCACCTAAGAAAGACGAAAGAGGTGGAGGAAGAAGTCAGCCATTTAAGAATCGGAAAAAAAAAAAGCTTCTAGAAGTGAAACGGGACGTTTTGCTTGAGTTTTGAGCATAGACTGTGTCTAATAGCCAAAAAGACGAACGTTTTAGAAAACTGATATATACACACAACCTAGACTAAAAAAGTTAAAAATGTTGTATATATGATAAGAGTCTATTAGTTACTATTTCATCATGTTTACTATCATTGTAAGCTATTTTATCTTTTCAATTTGAGTCGTAGGACATAGTTTATCATAATTTGATTATTTAGTTGTTGGTTCTGCCCTACCAATATTGTCATCAAAATTATTGGAGACTATCACAAGGTTCAATAATTTGAAAATAAAACAATGTTATCAGCACGTTACATTGAACAAAAATCACTAAAAAGAAATATATTTTATCACATTTCTCTACTCGCCAATCTTATCGGTCATATTTTTAATTTATTAAATATCACATCAAGTGATAATCATTTTTTGAACAATTTTAATTTTACGTCAATTCAATTATTTCAATAATACCTTACTTTTCATTTTTCATTACGTAACAAATACTACAAAATCCTTGTCTGAATTTCACATTATTAATTCTCAATTAATTAATATTCACATTAATCTACACATGAATATAGAGTTATTATGGATAAATTTATTTCTATTGATGTGTCTAGAAATTTTAATGAGTGTTAAATTCATGTATTAAAAATTAATTTTTATGTACCAGATAAAAACGTTGATCATTTATAGTATTTCATCGTCACAAAAAATTTGAATCATAGAAATTGAGTTTTAAGAGTACAATTTTCTTTTCTTAAATTTTAATACTAAATTTTATTTTCTTCAATTCGTTTGAAACTCATCAAATTCTTCCAATAAATTCGTATCGAATATTACTTTTGTAGTATTTGGAAAGTATTTAAAAATAACGTGTAATACACTTTCAACTTTGACTATTATACTAAAATGAACCTAAATATTTCAAATTTAATATTTTTTGATTGAATAAGTCAAATTGTTCTCGAAGGACCAATGTGCTAAAAAATTGAAAGATCAAAGACTTAGCATTTGCGGTTGTATTTTTACGATTAAAGTGTAATAACAAATAAAGAATTAAAAAAAAACCTAAATTTGCACGAACAAATTCGCCTTCTTAGGTAACCAACTTTCTAGATTAATTGATTAGAAAAACACAAGCCATAAAAATATTCCTAGACTAGTCCACTCTTTCCCCTGCCCGGCCACCTGGTGGTGGCCGCGAGGGGCGGCGCCGCCGGATCATAAATGAACATTTCCCCAACTCTTTCTTTATGACAGCCCTTATAATTAATACAATTGTCAGCCCTTTTAATGAAATTTAATTATGAGGCAAAGTTATATATATTTTCCAACTACCCATTCATACAATTTAGCCAAACTTCATTATGGTTTCTATTTAATTTGGTCACGCCCACGATGACATGGAATCCAAATACTATAATGAATTGTATAAAGGCATATGTTGCACAATTACTGCCTTTCAGAATAACGAATTAAATTTTTACTTTTTTCTTCTTTAATTTATTCAAAATTGTCCAATTTAATGTATTACTTTGTTCGACTTTTTTTTTTTTTTAAATCTAAGAATACATTGTATCAAGAAGAATATACTCAAAATATCTCTTTCCATATCTTCTACTGGAACTCAAAAGGGTGCAATTTTTTTTTTTTATACACGATAGATGTGAGTGCTCTTCATAGTTTTAGAAGTATTTTTGGAGAAATTCTCCTATTTGCTCCTCATAAATGTCTCAAAACTCAAAACTAAATATTATATATAGAATATAATTGGTCAAACCTAGGGCTGGGCGTGGGTTGGGTTTGATTGGTTTTGAGTCTAACTCAAACCCAATCCAACATGTTCGGTTTGACAATAATTCAAACATAAACCAACTCATTCACAGTTGGAATCCAACTCAATTCAAACATTGGGTTGGGTTGGACTTAAAGTCCAATTCAAGTTGGACAATTTTTATGTGTCCAATGGTTGTGACATTTTTCGTTGAATTTGAATAACTTTTTTAAAGTTTGATACAATCTCAATTTGAATCAATTTCAATTACATTAAAAAGGGTGATTTGCAGGGCCTTAAGTCGATTTGAAAGGTCTAAGTCAAAAATCATGTCAAAAAATCGAATAGAGAAGTCGAGGCTCAAGCATTAATGAGAGGCAAAAGAGATGAGGAAGAATAGACGTGAAGCAGAAGAGAATTTTGATTATTAGGTTTTAGGTTCTTGGTTTTAAGTACTAATTTTCTTTTTAATATTTTTTAATTTGTTGGGTTGAGTTGGGTTAGGTTTGATTGAATTTTAATAGATAACTCGGAACTCAACCCAATCTCATCTAAAATTTGATTTCTTAACCCGAACCCAACCCAATTGAACTAAAAAACCAATCCAAACCAGTTGGTTTGAGTTGTGTTGATTGGTTTGATGGTTCAGATTGATTTTTGCCCAACCCTAGTGAAACCTTATTAATATCGCTTGCTATTTATACAGTTCAATCTAAACTACGAGGACAAAATTTGAGCTTACATTTGATTCAAGTATGCACTAAAGATAATAAATTTATTTGAAAAATCTCGTCAAATTAAACACTACTTGTAACTGGTAAGCATTTTTATACATAACATAGAAATTATATTTAAAAATAGTGGACAATTAGGTTGACTTACCGTAGGAGGAGAAAAATCTTGAAAAATACTGGACAATAGTAAGTGAAGAATATTGAGATGAACCAAATATTCCTTACTAAGGGAAAGTTTTTTAATATGTGAACCAAGTGACGAATAGTTACATCTAAAATATATTACTCTCCCAAGAAAATAAATAAAATTTTCAACAAAGACAGGAGATAATTAGATAAATGCATGGTTGTGTACCTATAAAAAAAAAATTAATTGAGTAAAATACTAAATTATGATCATGGACAGATTGATGTTATTGCCTCTTTGTCCCAAGTCAAAGTCAAATTAATTTAGACATGTTTGTCACTACTCTTAATTATTTTTTTAATACAAAGATTATGATTTGAATGGTAATGATTTATTCGATTAAGTTTATTATAGTTGCATAGTTCTTCAAAAGACCTACCAATTTTTCTTATTTTTATTTTTTATATTGTCATGTAACTCTTGAAAAAAAAAAGTTCACAACTTCAAATTTTGACTCTATACAACCACAATTTTTCAAAACTCATTTTTTTTACAAAATCATTTTCAACTATACTTTAATGAAGTTCACAACTTTTATTAACCTTTCAATCATCAATTTCATCTTTTATTAAATTTTCTAAAAACATAATTTTTAGCCAAATCAAATAGGGGCCTTGAACACTAGTTGAAGTTGAGATGCAAAACTTAATTTTATAAAGTTAAGTGCTGTGGTGTGATCCAAATTTCATGTTTTTTGAGTTTGGTAGAGTACAAGAA